ACGCTGGCCACCTCAGCCTCCCCCTCGGGGAGGAACCGGCGCTCTGCAGAGCCGCAGGCAGAGCCCAGGGCTAACGTAAGCCAGGCTGGACTGGTCTCCTTCCAGTGCCAGAAAGGACAGGCTTTCATTAAAATGGAAAAGTGGCAAATGCATCAGATGAAAGAAAGTGAGAGGCAAATAAATTCCTTAGAGAAAGAAAAAGGAATGGAAAAAAAACCTCAAGAAAGAGGATGCCAGAAAAACCCAAAGAAGTGGCATAGAAGATCATCTGATGGGGATGCCAGCTTTCCTCTATAAAGAAACCCACGATCATTACAGGAGAGCAGGAGTCTCTGCATCATTAGGGTTGCCACCAGTTTCCATTATAAATAGCTCCATTTTAGCAATTGTTATGGGGCTTGGAAAACTAGCTTAAATTGAAAATTGCTATGTTAACTGGCAAGGCAGGGGAGAGTATTTCTGCACGGTCTTAAAAAAGGAATAAACTGTTACTTAGCGACAAATCTTTGTCACCGCGACCTCAAAAACACATCCATTAGCTTACTTCAAAGTAAGTAACCAAGCCAGTAAAATGGGAGAGAACACATCTTGCCAAGACAGGGAAAAAAGGGAAAATAAAGAGAGAAAAAAAAAAAGGCTGGGAAGTTGGGACGCAGCCTTCAAGGGAAGTGCATCTTGTCCCACAGCAAGAGCATCTCGGCTGGGAGGTCTGCACCACCTTTCTCAGGAAAGCTGGGAACAAGGCAGAGAACCACCACCAAGTAGGAGTTAATCCAGCCACATACAGGAACATACTGATCCTCAGTCTACACTGCCAAACCCTGTTTTCAGAAATGGATGAACTATCGTGCACAAGTGTTTGAGGGAGAAGGAAATCAACCTGAAACAGAAGTGACATACTCTGCCAGTGAAGTAGATTCACGTTAAACCTCTTAAAATGAGGCTCAGGCTACTTCAAGACAACTGTGGGCACAGCAGTGAAGAAATTTTCACTTTCTTATAGTGAACCTGAACAGGCTCAGCCCCCAGCAAGCCCTTGCCTGTCTAGATGAGCAGCCTGGGAAGAAACGGAGTCAAAAGAAAAAGGAAAAAAAAAGAAAAAGGGAAAAAAAAGAGAGTGCTGCCGTGCTTCAACCAGAGTGCAGCACGCATAGGGGAAACCAGCAGCTGTGGGCACCACTCTGGTTGGGATGCATGTGCCCCAGTGCTGGGCAGAGGTGGACAGGCACGTGCCCCGCCGTACCTGGGACGCTTCCCCGCGGCCGTTCCTCCTCAGGGGCAGCTGGTTTGGGATCAGATGCTGAGGAGATGAGCTGCTCGGAGCCTTCCTCACCAGCTGCCAGGTCCCCGCGTCTCACTGCTCCCTGCACTGATCCATCACGCTCTAAATCAGCGCTCTCTGGACCAATTCCTTCCAGTGATGGAGAGCACAAAGGTGGGTCGGGTGCCGAGTGGCTCTCTGTGGGCTGGGTGGGTTTCTGCCGCACGCCCAAACCTCCGGCGGCCGAGACGGCTGATGTGTGGCGGTCCATAAAGACTGTTGCTGGATGATACAGTCCTCTTGGCACGGCTGCCCCCGTGCTAATTCCTGCCTGTCTTCCAACATGCAACATCTGAAAAACACAGGTGGGAGACGGCTTAAGGAAACAAACAGGCAGCGTGTTGCAAACGGAGCTTCTAGAGGATCGCATGTTGGTTTCTGGAGAGAGAATTGTCACAGAATTCAAGTATTTTGTATAGTAGTATTATTACCCAAACACTTGGCACACATTTCTTGCATTCTAATGTGAAAATGAGGGCCCGGACCTCAACTGAAGCTCCATGAGCCAAAACAACTGGTGGCAAAAGCACACTGCACCCCCAACCTGACTAAAAGGGACTGAAATACACGAAGGACTCAAACTAATCTAAACGGTAACTGGTTTTTACAAACAGGCAACTGTTAAGATTAGATTCCTGCAAAGGCTTTTAAGACGCTGGACGAAAGCACCCACAGAAGTCACTGAAAATACCTTGAAGTTACGACTCGAGTGGAACCCTTGTGCTCTACTCGTGCATGACTTCGCACAGCTGCCGGTAGCCTGTGGTTTAGGTACCGCAGCATCCTGAAGCCAAGACATGATCATTAGGACCCCGTGGCAGTGTCCATGGCACAGCCGGCCTTCCTGGAGCCACCCGCAGCAGCTGCTCTGAGCAACCTCCTCCTGCCGCTCTTCTCATGGTCTTCTCTAGAAGGCAACAGGACGAGGAAGGGTCACCAGAGAGTTTGAAACATACTTCTGCCATCCTTACTTGTCTATATATCCAGCTTCGCTCACAGCATGTCAGCAAAGCAAATAAGAATGAGGCAAAAATCGCTGTATTCATTGTCTTCCTTCGGCTCTTTCCTGTCTGTTAAATCACACCAAAGAGGAAGAACAACTACTCGGCCAACACCACGTAGATGAAATCGCATTTTCCACAAGGCAACTTTGGGCACCGAGCAGAAACATTTTAAATGGCATTTTCCTCCAAGAACTGTTGAACTTGCATAAAAATAGTTCCAACAGCATAACCACTCTGCTTCTAAATCCCAGTGTTTTAATACTTGCCTTTTTTTCTTTGTAAACCTACTCAATCAGAACAATTTAGGAGGAGTGGCCACTGCCACCACCACTACTAAAAGGTCACCACCAGTTTATGCAAAGCCAAAATTAGCTATCGTAATACCATTGTTGATACTAAGCAGGGCTTACTTTTCAGCCCCAAATCACAGCAGGACAATTTACAGTCACCTCCACACCTCTCTCCTCTCTTTCATTGCCTGACCTCTTCCCACCATACAAAGTCAGCTGCCAAGCCCAGCTTAAAGGAAACAAAGGCATCTTGTCTAGTCTGTGACCAAGTTTCATTAAAAAAGCTCAAATTCCACGTAACAAGAAGCAGAACAAAAAGCCATGAAGCTATTTTAAGAAGCAGTAGAGGTTTGCTACTCAGATTAAGTTCACAGCTTATTCCATCACCACTGCTCTCGGGTTCCTCCTAATTACTTTTTGGGTCTTGGATTTGCTGCTTTAAAATGCACCTAGCAAGTACTTGATTGATTTAGCAGCTCCTGGATGTAGTGTTCCAAAACAAATGCAATTCAAATAGGTACAAGCGCTTGGCAGAGTCATAGCAGCCACATATCTCTAACAAGCTCTTCTCTGATTGCAGGAAAAAAAGAAGATCTCTTCACCACCTTTGCATTCTCAAAACAAAAGTATGACAGATAACATTGGTCTAGGTACTGTTTTTACAACCAAAACCAAAACAGTAAAAACGTGTGGATGACTTACCTAAAACAGTTAACAAAATTACTGAACTTCATGTCACTCCAGCTGGGAGTTAAATGAAGTCTCTGCACAAAGCACACTTACAATCCTCCTTTTGGTTGTGGAGTGCAGTAACACACTTCTTCCGCCCGTCACAAATACAATCTTTTTTTAAAGTGTTTTGAAGAGAACAAAGATAAGGAAAAAAATCCCTTCCATTAGGACTTACAAAAGGGCCCCATCTCCCCCAGCAGTAGACAACCACGTGAAAGCTAGGGAGGCGAAGTCGAGCCAGAGGCTTGTCTCTTCCAGGCGCCAGGGGTTACTCTCCCCTGGTGACACCCCCTTTCTCGGGGAAGGATGCTCTGCCACCCACAGGTGTTCCTGGGAGGTCCCCTAGGCCCTACGTCCAACAGATACGGCAGTGCCAAGATGCACAAGTCCAAAGCCTTCAAAAGACTTCAAGAAAGTGCTTTGAAGTTGAAGAAGCCAGACTTCATTGCACAAAGGTTTCAGTAGCCCAGGTTATACAGCTCTGCCAGCTGAGGAGGACGTCTTCAGCATGGGACCTCTCCTCCAACTTGTAACACCGGATTGCCGTTACACTGGGCTTCAAAAGACTGGTGCTCAAGTCCTTTCCACGGAGAATCATGGTCTTCCAGACAAACATTTTTTGGGTATGTGATTTCTGAGCTTAAGAACTCCCATAAAAATTGAGAGTCCAAAAGGCTGCGTATCCCATGGCTCAGAGAAGCACCAGGTATTCACACTGGTGTTTTAGGGGCATTGGGATACTGACCATCTTTAGAAGATTGGTTCCGCGATTATCCTTCTTGGTCTCCAAGACGCATCACTGACGAGGTTATCACACAATCACTGGCATCCTGACTAGCCTGAAGGAAACCATTACAATACCAGTGCTCGTAAATAAAACCAGTTCCAAGCTGTGATGATTTGCATCCTGGATATATCACCTGCTAACCGCATGTGCTTGCTATGACTGATTCAGTGCCACATCGCCGAGAACAAACTCTCATATTTTGGGCATAAGAATAAGCATCTTTTAAGTGAGGTGAAGGTGGTGGAAAATAGGTGCAACCAGTCCGAAAAAAAAATGGAGTTACAGAGAAAGATCTGAGACACAGCACATAGACAATGCAAAAGGATGCACAATTTAGTCGAAGTTACCTTTGTATTTAAGGAGGGAGATGAGAAGGAAAAAGAAGGGGACGGGGGATGAAAGAGTCCACCATCAAGCTATTAACTGTAATTGAACACAAAGTGACATATTTCGGTACGCACCAAGTTCTTGTACTGTCCAAAACCCGCTAACAGTTTTTAAAAATCTAAGTCACACCGTGAGCCTTTGATGTTCTAGTATTTACGTAAGCTTTTCCATAGGTTAGAAATCACGTCTCCTACACCGACTGCTTTTAATTGAAGAATCTAGCATTCAAAAATAAACTCACCTTTTCACGTACGTCTGAATTAAAACTATAATTCGCAAACTGCTGGGGGCCTGCTTGTGTAGGTCAAGGTTGCTCGGGTTCATTGCTTTGTGTATTACAGTTTAAAGAATGCTCTAAATTCAAGGTTTTTAACTTTTTAATCTATGGGGAAAACTTCCTATAAACTCAGATTAACGACTGCTAATGCACTGAAGAAAGAAAACCGAAAACCTTCCTCCTACTATAAAAACAAAATAGTGTGGCCTCTGTTTCTTTTCTGATAAGAGTCTTAAATACCAAACATTTAACTGCATAATAACATTTACTGGCAGCCAAGCAGCCTGCTTAGCAGATATATAAAGCAGGTAAAAGGAGAAAAAGTTAATTTCTTGGCTGAATGATTCCATCGGTAGCTATAGGGCAAACTAGAAAGTCTTTTAGTAAAGTAGCAGTTGATTCTTCTATCAATCTGCAGCACACATACTCTTCCAAGGAATGCATTAAATATGAAAATCATATCCCGTTATCATCTGTTTCCAGCTTTCAGCCCAGTAAGCTTTTCTTAATGAATGCTGTAGCCTAAGGGACAAGCATGCTGTTGGCTTTTCTGAATAATGGAGTGATGCTACCATTTTTGCTTATTACAATATCGACTAGCTGAGGGGGTTTCACACATAGTCACAAGTGACTACTCTTGCCAGCATGCTCCAAGTTATTACAAGATGTTTTTAGACATTTCATCTAAAAGAGCTTTACTGCTTTTAGTGAAGAAAACAGCTATGGTCTTGAACTGTATCATTTATATGGAGATAGGAGGAGGGATTAGAAGCCTGCATTACTGCAGATATATAGCAGAATATATTTAAGTATTCCTTGTCAGTCTTTTTGTCTGTTACTTAGATATGCAATCTCTTTTTGCTTCTTCTGAGAAAAGGTCAAAACGCACAAAATTACAAACACACCGTACAAATCGACTGCTCCATTTTTAAAAATATCACTCATTAAGAATATTTCCTCGTTGGTCAAGACCATTTTCACACTATTTGGCATAGGAATTATAAAAAACAACACAAAGATTAATATAAACAGTTAGAGTTCTCCTCCCTTTTTAATTCTAGTTCTTTGGCTGAAATAATTGCACTTTTTACCCCGGTTATTCTACTTCACTCAGGCACTAAACAATATTTCACACTACAAATGCCACAACAAAAATCCCCAGGCAAAGACTGCTTAGCAATGCCTGCCTCTTCATGCAGCAGCTCAGAGGAAAGCACATCAATGCAATAAAACACATTTCCCCCCCACTTCTTTTGCATTACCTGCTCGTCGTATTCTTCTTCCTTGGCACCTTCTGCTGACAAGTTACCCTCTTGAAGTGATAACACACTTTTAATTTCTCTTCCGTACCATGCCTAAATGTGAACAAATCCATTACATAAAATTGAAGGCCTAAAAAAAACCCCCACCACAAATCAACAAATACTAACTTTGCAAATTGTGCACTTTTAAATATAATGTCCTAGCAGCACTTTTTTACTTGGGCTGTACTTAAAAAGCCAGAGATCCCATTTTCTCCTAATTTTTCCACTCCCCTGACAAAATGACGTGGCCTGTACACAATCTTCTGCAGGTTTTTAATACACATTTATTTATTCATGTAATTTAGAATCCTACAAAATAGTAATAACTTGTTGCCTCAGATTTATTTCATCCCCACTAGTATTTGTAATTATTTCTGCTGCATCCAGACAGTACTCCCCTGCTTTAGGATGAAATGAGCTTTAGAATTTGTTTTTGTTTTACGTACATCATCTTACAACTCATTGCGCTATTGTAAAGAAAAATATATGGCAGATGTTATGAAGAGCAACCCAGCATGAAAGGCAACTTGCTGTAGTGTTACTAACAAACAACTGCATAAACCGTCTTCACCTCCACTACACTGTTTAATTGACCAAATGTAACGCATTCATAGTACAACTACTGCTTAAAAGCCAAGCACATGCAGCACCTATAATTAATCCTGTTTGTTAGTAATTGTGAACCCCAATAACAAGTTACATCGGCCCTGAGTGAAAGCACTTCAATACCTATTCTGCATCAGGTAATATGCATGAAAATAAATCTTTAAAACAATTAACTTAACCAGCTCTGCACTTCACTCCAGTGGTGCATTCAGCAAGTCTGCTATTTCCCAGGTAATAACAGCTGTTCATCAAATTGTAAACATGATATTTTAAGAAACAAAAACTAACTACATCAGAATTAAAGATGCTCAAAATAAACTCAAATGTAACTACTGGATTTTCCTGAAAGCTTACGTGAATTTACTTATACTCCCCAAAATTACTGAACAGATTGCAGATGCACAAACACAAGAAAAAAAGTGAATCTTTCAGAAACAAAACAAGTTTTGTCAGCTACAGCCACATAATAAACTGTGCACATAGCTATGATAAAGCACTCCTAAAGGGCATTCTCTCTCCATGAAAAAAAAGAGAAAATAGTAATAATTTCTTTCTGTGTACTTCCATGATAGATTAAATGATTACATGCTCCATAATTCTTATGCAATCCACAACAAGGGGGCTTTTCATAACTGTAACATAGCAGATATGTAATCTGTGCTTTGTTCAACAGCTCAGAAAAATAAGTCTAACCTGGCAAAAATAAAATGGATGGCATAGAAACATCAAAATGGAAGCAATGAACGAAAACCCCGCATGCAGATCAACCCATGGCACAACTGTGACACCAGTATAACAACCTACCGCTAGTCAAACTGGTGTGCATTAGGGTTGCTCAGAAAAAAAAAATCCTTAAAAACAACAGAGGAAACCTAGCATCACAACATACCTGCTGGTCCTGCTCTGCTTTAAATAAAAATTTAAAAAAAAAAAAAAAAAAAGAAGGGGGGAAATCGCACCCACCCACCCAGAGGCAGTCTCTAAACTATATGTTGCTAAGCTGAAGCAAGGAAAAGATGCTCTGTGAGTGTCACCAGACCCAACAGGCTTAAAAGAAGTACCAGGCACTAGCTGGGCTATAGTTGTGCGAGGAATTTATTAACGTGGCTATGCAACCATGGGATGTTAGCCAGCCCATTGGTTTATCAGAGTGGAAATCACTTGCCACCGTAAGAGTGGCATCTTTTCCAGAGAGCTTCCTTACTTCCAAAGGCAGGGAGATCAGCTAACAACCCCCCCCAAATCACCAGCTCTGTACGCTGAAGTCAAGGACAGCACCTCCCAAATAGGAAACGCACATGCAAACCTACCGGCGTTTCAGAGGGAGTGTTCATCAACACAAACAGGTCTCATTACCCCATCTCAAATACCATACATAAAAATCTTCCACATGAGCAGAGAAAAGCAGAGATTGGGGCTATTTACTTTAATACGAACAACAGAAGGCAGGGTTAATACATTGTAAGCTACAGCTAACATGGGCAGAGTTGTCTGGGGCCAGCTAGTTATTGTTGTTCTTAATAAAAAAAGCAAGGAGATTTTCAATGAAATCAAAGACAACTAATATAAAAACAATAAAGTTTGGGGGTCGTTGTTTTTTTTTTTTGTTCGTTTGTTTGGGTTTTTTAGCCACAGTACAAAATTACTGTTATAGGGCTTGTTGTCACATTATATTGATTTGACAAAAAGCTTATGAGGATTCAAAAAGGACTAGACACTGCATTAACATCCATAGTAAAAAGGACCGAAGATTTTTAGAAAGGACAAAGGCTCACACTTCAGGTCATACATTTATCTACTGAAAGAAAGGGACTTTTCTAATGTAAGAACTGCATACAAAGAGTTTCTTGCCCTTTACTGTGATGCAGCTAGTGAAAGCCAAACCAGACAGTAGGGGAACAAAAAAAAAAGGTAAGATGAAGTACCTTGCTGCTTCCACATCCCTAATTCAGGCTAAGCTCTAATAACGCTTCTTAGGGCAGTGTTTCCAGAGCATATTAAGAGAAAAGTTTAAAAAAAGATTTTTAAGTAAGGTTTGCTCGTTTGTTTTCGAACTTCTACATCATTTTATACTTTTTCCCTTTCCGCTCCCTGTTTTTATGTTGCAGTCTGATTCTTTCCTCCTCTTAGCTTTTTTCACAAGTGCTTATGTATTTCTTTTCCCGTACTTGCTGTACCTGATGACCTCAGCCACCCCACGCTTTTCTTTCAGTCCTGTACCACTGTCATCTGAGGGTGCTGCTGCTGCACCTTCACATCCTCTGAACCCAGGCTTTTTAGACCCCTCATTTTAAGAGGATCACAGTCTAAGTTTTACTGTCTCAGATCAAGCTGTGTGTGCCCCTGAACAGAAGGGAGAGGGAGGATAACAGTACACTCCGAGAACACTGTTCCTGTTCCAATTCAAATGGCATTTCAGAGAAATAAAAAACAATCACAACTGAGTTCTAGACAGCCACAAGAAAATAAGTGTTGTGTCAGTACCTCATCATAGGGGCTTAAAATGCCTCAACTGATTTGTTTCCTTCCCTCCTGTCTTCCAGCAAGTTAAAAAACGGGAGTGGCAGACGGACAGTAGTCGTCCCTACCAAATATTTCTGAAGAATGCTATTGCTCCTAGAAAGCAGATATAAACACATTTCCCTCCCCGTTTTTACATCCTCAAAAATCTGACTCCATATATTAGTGGCATGAGCACATCACAATTTCATTTTTTTAAATCTGAGATCATTACCAATCTATATCACTTTGCAACGTCCCAAATTGTTCTTCAGGGAGTAGCAAGACAACATATTAATATGATTCAAAAATCTTCAAAGCTTGGTTGTTTCTTATAGTAGCCTATTAAATTGAAAGCACTTCAGTCATGAGTTATGATAAAAAACCCCTATTACATAACCTTAAATATGGATCCCGAGTCAGTTTCAAATACTAAGACAAGACATGCAGAAGTCTCTTTACTAGAAGAGTTTAATCTTATTTCTGCACTAACTATAAAAAAGCAACACTAATGTAACTATTCAACCTACAAATAGCATTACTGATACATAACCATAAGGAAAAGACTGAAGCCATATACCCCAACAGGGCTAAATAGGAAAAGCAAAAGGTCTGTTCATATTTGCAAATGAGGGTCTTAAAGATGGGAAGATTAAGAGAGTCATCAAATTTATTTCAGCTTAGAAAAAAAAAGTCTTAGCTATTCAGGCCTAGTGGTAATTGATCTTTTTATCTCAACACAAAGGAAATGACTAAAAATGCTTTTTTTTTTTTAAACTTCCTCAACTTTTTGTTTCTCCCATACTATTTTAAGATATTAAGATAGATTGACTACATACCGGAGGTACCAAAATCCCCACTTCATTATCAGTTCTAGTCACCATGGGGAGTAGGGGCTTGCCAGAAGACAAACGCTTTTCTCCAAAAAGAAAACACTGAAGAGTCAAGCTGACTTTTGACAACTATTTCCACAATGAGAATTACAGATCAAAACAACTAACAAGCAGAACAAACAGCAGAGGGTGGCTAATGTAGCTGTTGAATGGTCATTTTCATTTGTCCTCATGAGAGCTTTTATTCTTTCTTTTAAAATGTAATGACCATGCACGTTTTCTACCTGTTGCGGTAATTTTTAAGAAATTAGTCATTTAAAAACAGAACAGGCATGTATTAGTTTGACAGCCTCTTTCATAAGGATAATTCATCCCAGCATGAGTTCTCAAACTGATGACATTCAGTGAAGTCAGTAATAAGACCCCTTTTGCAAATGTAGACCTTTGAGCTGACAGCAGTCAAGGCTATGAGCGGAGAAAGGAAAAGCAGCACGTTTGCGGTCGTCTCTGATAACAAAGATGCTACAAAGATGACAGCAAGCAGGATATTCTATTGGGTATTGGCTCTTCTAAAGTAGTCATTTGGTACTACCACACTCCTACCAAGTCAGTTATGATGCACAATTCAAGTATACAAGGTGATGAAATACTTCTTGGGCTTTACTTTAATAGCCCAGAAGGAAAGTTCAAAATTTCCAACTCTGAACGCACATGAATCAAATCTCTTTGAGTACATGCAAAAACGTTACCAAAAGCAAAGATCTGAGTGACGCAACAGGATGCTGGAGGAAGTAGTTTTTTCTTACCACTGTTCAAGTATTGCTAGTTGATTGTGTAGCAGTAGAACTAAGTGTGACCTCATTTTAGCTCAGCTTTAGTCCGGATAGTTCAAACACAGCAATTTGTTGTAACAGAAGTTATTTGCTCTTACACTTCCTCTGCTGAAGACAGAGCAATAAGGATGGGCAAGACTAACTATGGCTATTTAGGGTGTTCACACCAGCAAAATTCAAAATATGTCCTGAAACGACTTCATGAAATGTATTTGGGTATTTTTAAGTAATAAAAGCCTTACTAAAATACAGTTTTATAAAAAAGTCTTTATGAAAATATCACAACTCAAGTCGTCTTTTTGTCCTAACCTAGATGCTGCTGGTTTATCATCTTATCACTAACACTCCAAACACATGATCCATTTCCACATTTTTTTGATCTCTATTCTCCCTCGCTTCCAAGACAGACTCAGAAGCACAGGGCACTTTACTGTAGACTAAATGTAGAGTTCTGTGAAGTGTTGCTGACTACCTCTGCAGCTACATAGGGTCTATTACATCATATATTAGCAGAGCTTGGGTGCATTTCAAATTCCCAAACATTACCACTTTAAGCACTCCAAAACATATGATGCGGTTTCACTAACATCTGAAGTCTTGATATGCATAATTCTCGGACAAAGCCAATTTAGCAACCCTGTAATAACAGTAAACACTAACGTATTAGTCTTATAGAAAGTTACTTCCATCTTCTGAATCATCTCTGAACTTGAAATTTTCATATGAGCTTCAAATTGGTCGAATTCCTTTAAAAAGGTCTGGTTTCGCAGAAGAGCTCCTTTTTGTCGTTCATCTATTTCTTTCAAGTATTTTTTCAGCTTCATGTATTTTAGTTTCATTCTACAGGGGAAAAAGAAACTGTACTTAAAGAGTATGAAAATAAAACAAATGCATTTATTACAACCACTTTTCTTCAGACACACATACTAACATTTATGTAGGAGTTGCCCCCCCAAAAGGAGTAGACACATTCTTCTGCACAACTGTCCAAAGCTACATTATACAACTGACAGGATGTCTCCTATATAACTTCAGATTTAAACAGGCGTTTTAGTGTTCAAAAGGATAAGTATATTAAAAAACTCTTCCAAATTTGTTTTAAATGGGTTATGCTTTAGTCACTTATATCACATTAAATCAAAATGAAAATTGTATCTAGAAGAACGTGCTCTGAAGGTCATACAAATTGTAACATCAAGGCTGCAGTTTCACAACTGCTTTAAGCCAACCTAAATCCATGCTGCCACCAAAAGGAGCCTTTCTTTTTTGTGCCAATACTACCTGCTATGTGGCCACATGGCAAATTCGGCCAAGAGTAATCCAGCTGAAAATCCATCTAAACCAGTTCTCACCCACCCAAAAACCAGATTCACTTTCAGCCAGATCTATCTTCTTATCTGATTACAGGGCAGCCACACAAGCGTTAGTGCCAAAGGGAAAATGTGAACCAGGGGCAGTCAGGAGCATCTTTTCCTCTCAATCTGCCCACAGTTCTGCTTAAATCAGTAGTGAAATTGCAACATAAATCCCCCAGCTGCCAATATTTTCAGGGAAACTTCAGTTCAAAACCTGTTAGATTAAAATAAATTAAATAAAAACAGAAAACAAAGTACATGTGATGTTTCCCCGCCTGTTCAGGCACTTTTTTTTCTTAAATTTACATCTTCATTTTCTAATCTAAAGGCCCTCTTTTCAGAAGAGGAGTTCCTAAGGGATTGGCCATTATTGCACCTAGCCCTCAGTCCCTTGAGCCAAGACAGAAAAGTCATCTCTGTGAGCTTTACAGAACACACTTGAGGAAAGGAACACTGGATGAGACACTTTTCAGCCCTCTCTTGTTGTTGGTTGTTTTTTGTGGGTTTTTTTTCCTCTCCTTTGGTTTGTTGTTTAGGGTTTGGGGTTTTTTTTTTTTGTACAGACTGTATATGCAATTTACATTAAATAGATAACACAGAAATAATCCAAGGAGCAGGACCAGAGCCTAGAATATCCTCTAGGACTTCCTAAACTTTCAGACTTTAAGACCCTAAGACTTTCTAGCACAACTATACTACAGTGATTTTGCAAAAGTTGCATAAAACCAACTTGCATGCTAGTTATTACTGAGATAACATTTCAGTATTAATAGAATAAGGTAGTTACGTTATTGCTGAAGTTATTTTATCAGCAACTTAGAGACATGAATCTTACATTATACTTGACATATGAATATAAATTTATTGTTGCGAAAAACTTCAAGATAACATTCTAAAAACATTCTATGATACCTAAGTCTTTGTAACTGAACTAAAATAACCTGTTAAGAAGCTTTGAAATAGGCTTACAGGTATGCATCAGACTTTCTGTATTCCATCAGTTTTCTTTCTAATTCCAGCCTTTTGGCTTCACTGGAAGAAAACAAACAACATACAGTAAGATTTCACAATTTAAATTCTCAAAATGCAAGAAATAAAGCATTTCAGAGAGCATAAACTTTTCAGAGCAGAGAGCACATTTTTGCTAGATTGGTAGCCTTACAGATTGATCTGCCAGCCAAGCTTACCACAAAAAAAAAAAACCTCAAAGCTTTTACTTCTTTGTTCCTCATTGGAACAAGAGCTAGGTTGTTTTAAAGGGAAAAGATGCCTGGACACGTATATATCCACACAACACCCACCAGAATAGCCAGAGACTTCTGCCCAGCTGAAGCTGCTGTTTGAAGTCCCTTCTCCAGCAGCCCCAGGAAGGGCTCTAAACCCTGAGACTGGCAGTTCATGAGCTCATCTCTCCCCTTCTTCCCCACCCCAAGTCCCAGAGCAGACCACTTCCAATGCAGGAAATACTTAGCTGAACTTGTTCAAATGGACGGCCCCCCAGAACTTCTCATGGGAACGTATCGACACATTAAAATCTATTTTTTCAAAAAAATCCCAACTCTTTCCTGGCTTACAATGTGCTAACCAAGTATTTTATTTAACGATTTGAACTTAAAATCAAGTACATATTTCACACTTATGCATTAAACCCAAGTACATCTAGAGATACGCTAGCACTACCTGCCAGAACTTACTAGAGGGTAACAGATATAAGTAACCACCAAAAATATTTATGGTTGTGAAGATGCTATGAGGCTATCTGTATCTGCCAAAAGCAATGCAAGGGTACAGGCCCATGGGGATGATCAGACTACTTAAGAACAAACTCCATACCTCACACAGAATCTATTTCAAAGAGAATTTATTTTCAGGAAGAGAAAAGAGTAAGGCTGATATTGTTTAATAATTACAAATTGCATCTGAAGATGACCAACCACTCCCTAAGCAAAAAAAGAAAAAAAAATTGGTAAGACAGAGGCTTCCAGTAGATTCACATTACAAACCCCGCAACAATCAAAGCAAGTTGCTTATTAAAAAATAGTATCAAATTCTGATTAGCCAGGAAGGCTGTACACGTGCGAGTGATATGGGCAGATACATGAGATTGCATGCACCCATATGGCTAGGCATGCTTATCTATGGATTTGTGCACTCCCCTACTGATGTGTCCATGTCGTAGCTGCATACATTTGCCTCCTCCCAGTTGCCCTGCACAGAGGAAAGCAAGGAAAAAAACCCTTTCTGCTTCTTAGTCCAAGAGATCAAGGCATCCATTTTACCCATCTGATCCTGCCACTGTCTGAAACAAGATTAGGTTTTCATGTCATGTATGCAATTTAAAAGCCATGCTTCATCTGGGATCTCATCCTTTCAATTTCCTTTTACATGATGGACAGCTAAGCAAAAGCCGATTTCAAGATCTTGTTTTTACACTTCTAGAAGTAATTTTCATGACTCAATGAAGAACACTGATATCCTGATGGATGTAAAAGCCGATGGATGCGAACAGCCATAGGCTTCAATCCTGTTTCTCATTCTCTGATACCACACATAGCACATCACATTCCTTAGCTCCTGAAAGATCGTCTCCTTTCTACCAGCGTGGTTTTTCAGTATACCATTCATTAGTCTGTTACAGCTATTTAGACAGCACATGAATATATAAGTAAGGTCTTCTCAACGCAAGACAAAGCGGTAAAAAAACATCAGGTAAGACCCTCCCAGCATTTGAGTATCATCATTACGGATGCCCAAAATGGTTACCGCACAGCTTGTGGTGTCCTGCAACACAGCTCTGTCCAAGCACCAAATCAGAGGCAATCAAGACTTGACTTGTAGATTTGCTTGCCCAGGTTCTGGCAAGGTTCCAGCACAGTTTCTTTGTGCCAGTGACAGAACTGAAGCTTGAAGCAGCGCAGGGATTATTCTGCCCACTCCATTGCACCACCACCTCCTTTCTTACATAAAAAACCAAAGCGCTCTGCCTGAAACTTTTATTTGCTCACGTAGTTTTGCATTAGGTTAAAATGATGCAAACGGCCAGGTATCAACTTTTTTCTCAGATGGGCAAAAATAGCACACTTCAGAATTTTTTAAGGATCCAGGTGGCTCATTTTCAAACAACCCTGAATCTTAAGTCTACAGAGAAAGAATGTTAGTTTGGGATTTGAGAGCAGAATTAAATTCCCTGGTCAGCCACAAGCTCTCTCTAATCTCTGGCATTCCACCAGGCATCGATCTGTAGTGATATTTGATCCCTCACCTCCCATTTAAACCAGCAGGACTAAGATGCCTCAATGGTTTTTTGAGATACACGGCCTTATTCTCTTTGTGCTTCAGTTCTGCAACCATAATGTAGGAATAACAGTACTCCTGTCATGATACCCTGTTGAGGTAAGTACATAGAAAATTGTGCAACACTTGGGCACAATGCAATCTTCCCATAGAAGTAAGGAATGTTATTTTTACAGCTGTCGTCCTACACCAATCCGACATTAAATCAACTGTTGAGCACTGAGCTGCATCCACCTTACTAGCCTGGAGCCTGGCCAGAGCCTGCTCAAGCCTTAGCCAACTGCGCTGGTCCCCTGGGCGGGTTAGAGGGGGCCTGTTTAGCACCGTCTTCTACATACAACTGGTAACAGCAGAGATTTCTGAAACTAATAATCCTACCCGGTTTACATTCTCTGTTCAGGACATCTCAGTATTTGTTCACGTTTACTGCAAATCGCCCTTAGCGTGAAGCATCTGGCCTCGCTGCCTGAAAAGCGAGGCTAATTGCAAAGTTAGTCACAGTGTTAAGTACAGCACTTAACTATATAATTCATTTACCTCAACGCCCACACTGCTCAAACACTGCCTTTCTCACCAGCAACCACTGAAGATTAAGTGCTGAGTAATCACAACACGGTCAGGTCTGTTTAAAACACAGAAGGTAAACTCTCTGCCCCATTTCACTTATGATCTACCTCAAACCTAATTCTTTATAATTTTGCACACAACACAGATACCACTGACCTGTGTACAGAGACCTATGCATGCAGTAATTTTTAGACTTAGACTGGACAAAGTAACAGCATTAGGAAATAAAATATGGCCAATAAAGTCTAACACGTAATTTAGGGTACAGTTATGGGTTTTTTTGCACAAGTCTCAAGGCAGTCCATGCTGACTATTTATCAGAAGCCTAATATCTGGTGGCTAATTTCTCAAGCACTTAGAACCCAGATATTTAAAGAAAAAATGAGATTTATGAGAACAGGTAGAAAAGAAATATTCATGAGAACTCCCTTTTAGTTCACCAAGTCAGATGGGGGACATAACCAAGCAGCAGCTTCCTCACCATATTCAAGCTCTTGCACATACAGCTTTTTAGCAGTGGCTCATCGTTTGCTTGAGCACAACTGCGAGCTGAAAGCAGGACTGCAGTCAGGAGAGAAACAGCTGGCAGGTACTTCAGGTCTTAGAACAGGTGACTTGAAATTAGATCAGTACAGAATTCCAAAGCGGGACTTAAAAAGCTGAAATGCTCCAGTGATTTAACAAAAGTTTTTATATTTCACACTTTGAAAAGTTATTTAGATAAAAGGTATCACTTCGAGAAATTCTGAAGAGGCAATTGCCTCTACAGCACCATTCCCAGAGGCAACAGCAGCATACAACTTGCAGTCTGGCATAAAAATTACTCCTTGTTCGTCAACAAATACATCTTTTATTTTATATTTTAAAGCACATACAACAGAAGTGTGCCAGGCAGAAAAGGTCTATTTATTATCACAAGACCTGCTAAGCTGGGTCTCCAAAGGAAGCACAGCTTATGCAATCATGCTGTCTGTCTGCTTGTAATTCCCCTTCCCCACAAATAACTCCTGAATCTTTTGGTGCAACTGAATTAGACAGAGGAGCTGACGTCTGAAGTGTACTACGTTCCCAGAGCTTTCAGAGGAGCTGAAGAGGGGCAGTCCATCTGTGCAGTGTGAGCTCAGCCCTAGCTCAGGCAACAGAGAAGCTACAAAGGAGGTGACCAAACTTCATGCAGATCGGGCTCTCGGGAAGCACAAGACATCTCTACTCCTAACACGAGGGACATCTGCACACAAAGACAGAGTTTAAAGCAGCATGCAGTCTAGAACACTCAGATTTTAATCTGCCCTTTCCCTTCATTTTCTAACGCCACCATTTAGATAAAGTGTCTTCCCTATCTAGGGCCCGCATCTTTAATAATTTCTATACAATGAAAGTATACTTTGTATATTCTTATCCAGTCTTTTAAACAGCAAGCTATTCCTGTTTTGTTTGCCAGTGGTCTTCCAGACTGGAACAGGATATTAGTGAAGATATACACAGCAAAAGCACTATCTACATGCAAGTTTAGATTCTCACAGCCACGGTGTTATTATTTCTGCTAATACTGTATGTTTGAGATGCTAGCATGAGACCCAGAAATCAGTCTTCTGTATCAGACAGAAAACAGGTACTGCTTAAAAAGCAACTTCATAACAGCATACCGTAAGTGTTCTCAAGAGACTTCCTCTGGCCAGAAAAAAAAGTGCTAGTTGACACCAATTACTGTGGTTATTGCAGTAAGTAACAGGCCGGGAGCATCACTAATTGCACGCAGCTTCAGAGGAACTGACCGGTGATGGAGATCCCTCAGGCCAAAGCCCCTTCAGAAGTTTGCATCATGTACACTTTCTTCCTGAAAGTCAGACCCGCCCTGAAGTGCCCACAAAATGAAACACCCAAAATAACTTTTTTTGGAAGATTAAAAAGATGTCAGCAGGAGAAACATCTGTACATGTACATTCACCAACTAGCCCGCTCTGACATACCAGCGCCTATATTATTTGCTTGTTCGCTTAAAGTAATTTGGTAAACATTGCCAGAAGTGCTTCAGAACTTCTCAGACAAGCAGTAGCAGGCCTGCAGCGCTTTCAGAAGCCACCCAACACGCCCGTACAGAACTCCTAGAGCAGAATGACTGAAGACGCAGAAGCCA